TTCGGACTCGACGCGAATCCGTCGCGGAATACGACGCAACTTCGGACGTGGATTCCATTACATTTCCAATGTCTTAATTACCTACCAACAAGCCGTTATCATGCATGAATATATGATGCAGACAAAAGCCGTTCCCAAAATAACTACTGTATGGTGCGAACGAATGTAAAAAACCTACGGAATTTTCTTGGGGAATTCTCTAATAGCCGCTCTACTAGCTGGGGACACTATACAAACCATAGAAAAAGGGGATGAGATCTCCCATCATTTGGTGCCACGAACTAACGTCCAGTTGACAGCAGACACAAAGACTCTCTTTCCTCGTTTGGAGCACCCCGTTTGACGACGGTAAAGTGATTTCAGCGCGTCTGACTGTCTCATGGTTCCTTCTGTGCTTCAGACGACATAGTTTGTGAGCTGTTGGCTGTAGTTTGTTAGTTTGGCCCAAATCAAGCCAATAAGACGGCCGGGAGCGGCGGATCACTGTGAGATTGTGATTAACGACTCCAATCCAGCAGCGCTATTACGCCGAGAGGGTGAAGTTTAATTGAGGCGGTACTGAGAAAGAGCTGCCAACCGCAGGCCATTTTTGTGAAATGCTGACCGATATTACACCGTAAGACTAGCTCCAAAGACTGATGTTTTGGTTTTAGAAAAGCTCCCGAGAAAAATACAGGAACATTGCGAACAACAGGAATGCAACACTCTATTCTAGTTCGCTGAAAGGACGGGATAAGTCCGGTCTCAGTAAACATAGTCGCTTCACTGCCCACATTATCCCCAACGAAAGACTGCGAGATTTTGCTTTGTGCCATCCCTCCTCCCTCTGCCTCTCTCTCTCTCCTCTCTCTCTCTCTCTCTCTCTCTCTCTCTCTCTCTCTCTCTCTCTCTCTCTCTCTCTCTCTCTCTCTCTCTCTCTCTCTCTCTCTCTCTCTCTCTCTCTCTCTCTCTCTCTCCTCTCTCTCTCTCTCTCTCTCTCTCTCTCTCTCACACACTCTTTCCACTCCCTCTCTCCTCTCCATTAAGTGTTTGGTGAGAAAACTTGCTCGCGGATGACCCCGCCACTGCATACTGATGTAAACTGACAGAGCGTTCCAGACGCAGCCAAGGTGATCGAAGAAACATCGTCCAATCGACATGAGAAATATTGCTAGTTGTGGGTGACTCACTAGCGGACACGCCCAAAAGCAGACGTGACAAATGGTGAACACAAAACTGAAGTGTTCAAAATGCCGCAGAGCACCATGCCGCACGCTGATGGGCTTGTTGTCAAACAGTTGAATGCGTGATTATGTTGGATACATGAATAACATAAGTTTTGTTGTCAATAGTTAAATCACCATTTGTTAGAAATAGAATTGTGTTTTTCTATTGAAAAACAAATCTGAGTTCCCTGACAATTTTGCATATGTTGGAGACGGTGCAAACTGCAAATGGTGTCGAGCAGGAACTGTTTAATAAAGTAAGAAGACCGCAGTCAGCGAAAGACATCCAATAAGTGGTCTCCCGTTGACAATAAAAGGTCTCCCTTCGTAAAAAAACGTATCGCAAACATGCCAACACAACTATTTCAGTCTCTTCCCTTCTCTTTCTTCTCTCCTCCCCTCTCCAACGCTCCCCAACCACTCACCTGGAAATCGCACGTTGCCCGGGTAGTAGAAGTACGTCATCTCCACGTGCACACTGGATGACTGGCCCGGCACGCTCGTCCTTTCTCGGTCCCCTGTGGGCCGGCCGGACGGCGGTCAGTCCACGCGGCACGTCGGTCGTACGAGGGGCGCTGGACCGGTACATGGGGTGGTTTATTGTAGGGACCGACAGTCACGTATGTAGGGGCACCGGGACAGAGGGAAAGAGGGCAAGAAGGTAGAGAGGCGGCAATCGAGCTAGGGTCTTGGTAGCACCAGTGGGCGTGGTCGGGAAGGGAACCTGAGTGGGCGAAACACGATATATCAGTGATGCCAACTCTGGAATTATGCAGCAGCTGCTGCCGTGCAGAGTGTGGAAATGTCAGTCGGCGACCGGCACTGGACTGCGCCTCTCCCCGTTAGGCCCCTCCGCTCGGTCTGATGGAGGTTCGGACGCGTTCTTCGTCTCCGTGAGGTCGTAGCCAGGCGGCCAAGTGCTCCATTCGGGACGGATTTTCTCGGCCGTGTCCGGCGGCGAGCGGCCGGGCGTGGTTTAATGACGAGTTGCCGGGCGCGCCGCGGCTTCAATCCGCTCTCAGAGCAGCCGGACGGACATTTGTGAGAAGGATGAGGCGGCCAGGTGCTGTGGAAACGCTAAAATGAGGGTATGACGAGTTCTCAGGAAGGCTTTAGTAAAGGTGTCTCGCGAGGTAAGAGGACTGGCGAGAGAATAAGCAGTAAGCTTGTTGTTAACAAGCAGGGAAATTCATAGAACGGAATATCTTTAAAGAACTCCACTAACAGGGTTACAAAGGCTTCCAAACCAGCTTTTACAGGATCATACATTAAATATACGAAATGGCGTTCAGAATACTCGAAAAAAAAAATGCATGATTAGACTGGATCAAGTGCAATGCACTACGCTCTAGTACTTATCGAAGTCACTCATCTCATAGCATAATCACTATCACAAACATCAGTGATTCTATGCGACTTCCCTATCTAATCTACACTAGCTACTGAGCATCTAGACTATTTACTAAACCTCTGCTACGGTATTTATGCTACAGTTAGTGCGCGAAATCCGTTAATTTGCAGCTTAACTAGTTACGCTGCAAACTAACAGACTTCACATGCTAACTGTAACATCTACATGCGTCTATATCTTGCTTCCCTCCACAACCCACAATACAAATCCCCTTGAAGAAAACTGTCTGTGCCATTTCCATGGACGCATTTCCCCCAGGGACGCGATTGACACACCGCACTCTCCCCCTGATCCCACTCGTGCCACAAATTGGATCACTGTGCGCCGGGAAAGCGGCGAGGTGGTGTGGCCAGGCCGACACCACACCACCGCAGCGCGCAGTGACCGTCCCGCTCCTTCGATCCACGCCCAGTGACCGCTAGGCACAGAGTTATAGCCCGGCCAGGCCAGCCTCTCACGGGGCAGACGGAGATGGATAGAGCCTCTCAGGGCGGTGTGTCCAGTGCACGCGCACAGAAGCGCCGACTTACAAATGGAACACGGACCGCACGCCAGGGACTAGTCTCATACCCAGTCACGGGTCGTTGATAAGATGCCTTATCACTGATTAGAGGTACTCCTCCACCTGATGGTGTGCCGACACCAATAGCCAAACCATTTGGCTGTTGCGGCCGTCTACACCGCAGTGTGTGCGTGGGTGCGTATGCGGTATGCGCGATATCTCTAGAAACAAACCGCAGACCAGATCCTCGCCGAGCGGGTATTTTGCACCATCCTCAGTTTTTTTTTTTAGACGCACCTATGAAACGACACCCATAAGAAACTAACGCACTTGTCCGAGGTCGTCCAATAGCTTGCACATCGAGCACCCTCTGCCTGGCCACTAATGCAATGACGATCCACTTACTGGACTGACAGACCGATACTTGACTGAGTCGAATCACACGGATCGATGCGAAGAGACGTGGTGCAGGCGATCCGCCAATGGCACATGAATCAGTGTCCGGTACGCCAGACCATAGGATTCACACAAAACGACACATTTGATCTAACCTGACCGGCAAGCTGGCAGAATAACCTTATTGACACATGAATGTAGCATCGTTCGAAATGACACAGTCACCTGTCTGACGCCAGTCGCTCACGCGACCGATTGCCAACTCGAGTGTCAGAGCCTGGCTTATTCGGTGACGGCCAATTAACACCACTCTGCTTCACACTCAGAATGTGGCACAGTTTTCCCGTCCGTCCAGCTGAGCTGATCTACCGTCACCCAGACGATTGCAGCCACAGTCTGGCCGGGCGTTCTCCGAACCCGATAATACCGCCGTCGGGGCTATGTAACTAATGTCGTTAGCTCCACCAATCATCACTAAGTCGGACAAACGGTCTTGGCATGCTCAGCGTCATTAGTATAGTGGTCTCGCTGAGCGCCGCTCGCAGTGTGGCCTGTGCCAGTATTTCGGTCCGGGGAGCGTGACCAAGGTGTCGAAAGTTTCTGAGCGGCTTTAGACGACGGCTAAACGGAGCCCGAATTAGCACGGACATTACAGAACAGTTGGAGATCTCGGAGTCGTGCTGACGACGAGAGAACGACAGCTATTGGACGGCCACTAGCGCGGGTTGAACAGTTACGGAGAAGTAGCTGGGCCGCCGAGGTCGCCGAGGTGTGGTAGTTTGTGGAAATGGCTCACATTTGACATGCCATTTCCAACTGATAAAACAATCTTGCAGCGCTCTTCAAAAGCCGCAGTGTTTTCGGGAAGAAGATCTCTTTCCTTTTCTTTCAGAAAAGAACAAGCCAGTGAAGGGAAGAAGTACAAATATCCCTACTGTTGAAATAATATCGAAGTATCTCTTCTATCCAATACCCATCCCTGAAACGGATAGACGGAAGAGAACTCTGTAAATAGATCATTGCGTAAGAGAACAGTCAAGACGTACATACATGGAAAATTGAAATGATCCTTTTGGTGTCAACGGGTTCGGGAAAGTCGCCAGTGAAGGAATTCGGATCTGAAAAACGTGATAGACGATCACAGTGTTGTTAACAAGGGGGCTTCAACTTTAGACATCCCTGAGAGGAAACCTGTATCAGAGAGAACATAAACACAACATTGGAGAAAACGTCATCTACCATGAGTATTGAGTAGTAAAATACTGGTGAATTCCTATGAATTCAGCGATAAATACAATACAAACTCATAAGAAACAATACATTACTGTGGCAAGGTAGTGTACTTCCACTTCAAACAGTTGACCTGATAGTACGTAGCGCAGGACCAGCGTAGAATGGGGGACAGCGCACACTGCACAGACACGATCGTTACGGGACCACTGGCATACGGGGCCTGCTCTAGGTAATGTGCTAACACCGAATGGCACTTGCCTACCGCAAAACGCAGCGCTGGCGAGCAGGTTAGGTCACGGGGGTCTAGTTATGGGGTCAGAGAGAGAGGAGGAGAGGAAGGATCGGGACAGAGCGAGAGAAATGCCAGCATAAGAACAACGCGGGCTGACGTATGACTATAGCGGAATGGTATGGTAAGACTGGCCAGATAATAAGGGCATTAGAGCAGGAATAACATTCTGGCATTTGACAGTCAACCGCAATGCCACATGAACTGCGGGACACCGGACTGCGCAGTCTTTGAAACATCTCATGGATGAGTATGGGACGTCTAGTGAGGTTCGGGAGAGGTCGGGTCGGCAGGGGTTGGCAGGTTGCTAGCAGGAGATGCACCACCACATCACCAGACAGACAGAAAGAATAGAAGCCTCGGTCCATGCCCCCGCCGCCGCCGCCGCCCTGGTCTTACCGAGTCCGGCCGAGGTAAGAAACAGCAAAGAGGGTTCGTCTACGTGAACGCCCCACCCATTGTCGTTAGTTCAGACAAAAATAGAAAAATATGGACGACCACTGCCTCGGAGGGAGACGGCAGGGGCGGCGGCGGAGACCGCGCGGGGGCGGGGGCGGGGGCGGCAGTGCGTCAGGCTGGCAAACGCTACACAACTAGAGAAAGCGCAGCTGCAAGCTTGTGCAAACGACAACGGCCATGTTACGTGGAGAGCAGAAGATTAGGTTAGAAGGCCGCGGTCCCAGACTTCTCTTGGCGCGTCTTCCTGAAAGGCAGATGGGTGCGCTGTGACTACAGGGTGGTGGTGAGAGGGGGCATGCAGCACCCCGCCCACCCCACCCCAACTACACCCGCCAAACGGCCCACTGGGACACCAGGACGCCGGCTAGATCTGCGAAAAACAGAGCCTAACCCAGCTGGCAACATAACCAGCTTTTGTCGTAAGTTTAATTTAGAGTTAGCGTATTTGGAGAGAAGCAGCCTTTTGCGTCTTACGAAAATAAGTTAACCTGATTTGCAGGGAACATTTATCACAGTTGAAAAGACTTAGTCCATTAACAAGCGCACCATTTACTTCAAGCTTCCTCCCGAGGGTACATTCAATTTCATTCCGTGTTCGCTCGAATGGGCGACTGTTGCGTGTTCCAAGGAGATGAAATGTTAATAAGCTAAGTAATTCTGGCATATGCCCGAGTTACATTTGCTCAGCACATCGGGTACCGAGAGCACGAATCATTCAAACTATAACTTTCCGGAGACTATGAATTCGATTAAAATTTCACAATGTTTTAAATCAATATGGCTTAAGCCACCAGTGATGTAAAAATCACTCAGTTTCACAAATGGCATCTTCCAGCATGGCCTTCCCTATAGCTCTCCCCTCATGTTCCCCAATACAAAAACACACACGCACACACACACGCAAAACGCCAGGCGGATCCGGGGCTGGCAGAGCCGGTAGACGGACACGCACACGCAGACAGATAGAGAGAGGGGCAGAGACAGCGCCAGAGTCGGTGTTAGAGAGAGAGAGAGAGAGACAGTGAGAACTGCGGCGGTCAGGCGGACATTCTGTGCCATCCACGGGGCGCGGCGCCGGCCGGCCGGCCGGCGGGCACTCACCCATGACAAACTCCTTCAGCACCGTCTTCCGCTGTGAGGTGGACACGCGGTAGATGACGAAGTCGTTGATGCGCACCACCAGCGCGGCCGACATGAGCTTCCGCAGCTGGTTCATGACGAAGGAGCGGTGGGGTGACGGCGGGGGCGGACCTGCCGCCGGCCCGGCCGCCGCGCCGCCGCCGCCGCCGCCGCCGCCGCCCGCAGCGGGTGACTGACGGAGCGGAGGGAACTGGGGTCAGAAAGACGGCGGAACAATACGGAGATCATACTGAGACGTACGAGATTACTGAGAGACTGCTGAAGTATATCATGGCACAGAACAGAATTGAGGTTGTGAAGGAAGATAGGAACAAACAAAGTTACTTTCAAATGGTGGATGAGGCAAATAATGGACAAACCAAAAAGTATAATTTGCAAATGCTCTAGCACTTCATCGTGTAGGTAAACATAATATGAACGAGAAGACGCTTGCAGCAAATTTAAATTCAAGCATATGTTGAGATCCACACATTTTTCAACAGTTTCAGTACAGCGTCTATGCACTGAATAAATGACACCCCAAACGCTCGGCTGTGAAATATATGAACTGCTCGAGACACCATTATTCATATCAAATCAACAGGAATCATTCAAGACTAGAACCCTACACGAAGTCTACAATTGAGCCTGAGAGCACTGAATTCCAACCACCACGTAACTAAAACACTATTAAAGTCCTCCTTAATATTCAAACGCTCTCCGGCAAACGAATAGGATCGGCGAAATTGAGTTCATTCATTCAGGGAATGGCTTGCTCAGACTCGACATTGCCCAACAAAGCCTCATATGGTACTGATAGAATAACCGGCTACAGCCTATTTCAATTGCAGGGAGTGAGGTTTCGGTGCATAAAATATCGAATAAAACCATGCGACCCGCAACGAACAGGTTCCGATGCAAATGAAAGAATTTGTTGCATTGGAATTACTGAAATGGCGCTTCGTGTTAGCATAATATGATCTCAAAATTGGACGTCAAATAATCAAACATGCACACGTTTCATTCATATCAGAACCATAAACTAGCAACAAAATCACACGGTGATGACGGTGGTGGTACGGTGATGCGGGGTCTATCCACTGTATTGGTGAGGTGGGAGGGATGGACACTCCCCTCTTCTACCCACTGTGTTGTTGGGGTGCGGCCCAGTACTCTACCCACCGTGTCGTTAAGGTGGGATCCTCTACTACCCACCGCATTGTAAAGGAGCGGCAGCGCGCGGTCCGGTCCAGTTCTCTACCCACCGCATTATTGAGGTGTGGCGGCGCGCGCGCCAGCCGGGTGTGGTGCGGCCCGCCGTTGAGAAGCAGCGCCGTCAGCCGAGAGCGGAACTCGCTCAGCGCCTGATCCAGCCACTGGGCCGGGATCGACTCGCCGTAGCGCACCCAGTGGCGCCGGTCGCCGTACGCCAGGTGGTACGGGTAGTAGTCGAGCTCGAGCTGCTTGAACGTCACCTGCAGCGCGCCGCCGGCCTCCAGCTCCGGCGCGCACGAGCGGCCCTCTGTGGGAACAGAGAGGGTTAGTGAGGGGGTTAGTGAAGCGGTGGGAGTACTGGAGGAGGGTAGGGGCACCGAACAGTGCGCCGCTGGTACACCGGCCTCCAGCTCCGGCGCGCACGAGCGGCCCTCTGCGAAACGGAGGGAGAGGGGGTCAGGTCAGGGGACTACGAATCCACTGGGGAGGGCTAGAGAGTTGCAGGTTTTAAGGGGTCAAGAAAATATGAGCACTCAAAGGGTGGAGTGAGTTGAATGGTACTTCGTAGCTCAAAAATGCGCAATTTAGCTCCTCATAGGCCATGCGAATGGCTCGCTGGTCCTCTGTGGATCTGGTAGCCATCTGAGTGGAAATCGAGGGTTAGAAGATCTTCCGTAACTGTTGGGGTCCGAAGTCTCGTTAGATGATTGCATCACTCAAAACCGCTGGTCGTTTACAACTTTCGGGACGCCTCAACGGCAACATCTATGCATACACCGTTTATAACACTGAAACTCCCATCGATCACAAATCGAATGACGACAGGTAACGTCGTTATCGACCTATATAATGGCATCTCGGGAAGAGAGGAAATCTAATCTGTGTCGGACCAGATGCGGGAACCGACTAACCCAATCACAGTGGACAGTGGACAGTGGATGTGAGATCACATCTATGATACGGCCGGTGCCGCGACCCTCTGATCTTGTACAGCTCAGAAACACCGGTAAACAATGCCAAACGTGACTCCCAAAATAAAATATGTGGTTGGGGATCACAAGCTCCAACCAAACACTGCAGCCGAGCTTAAGCTAGTTTGCTCAGTTTCTTCTTTGGTTATCATTTTAACACAGAGGTGTCAAAAAGTTTGATTCAGTCTGCAAAGTCAGCATATTAACACCACCCTGCATTCATTGTTGACTACGTCAAACCCCATCTAAAGCCACACAAGGTAAACTCTGGCGCCTGGCCAGCCGCCGGCGAAACAGCAGTTTTCCAGCTATCAGTGGAATTCGAGCTCAGACAGCTACGGCGCAGTGTCTGTGGGGTAGGTGGGGCGCGACTCAGCTCCAGACTCACCGCAGTGCGGGGATCGGGAGGCGGGAGCGTTATCGTCCTCTGACATTTTGTGGACACGGTGGGAGAGGCAACAGGCGACGAATTCATGGGGAGAGGAGATAAGAGGAAAGGAGAGGTGAAGCAGATAGGGGAGAAGAGAGAATAGGAGAGGTGGAGCGGATGAGAAAAGAAAGGAGAAGAGACGAGCAGAGAGGAGAAGAAAGAAGGAGAGAGGAGAAGGGAGGAGAGGAGTGGAGAGCAGAGAGGAACAAAGGGGAACAGTGTTCTAAAATTGGATTTTGGTTGGGTGTGCTGATGAAAAAAATCCTAGGATGAGAAAAAAGAAAGTAAATAACTGCACTATTTTTGAAAAATGGTGTAGGTAATGCTAATTTCTATGTCAACTGATAAACCAGGATTTCATGTCAGGATCTTGACAGGGTGTGAAACAAAAGGATGTGGGTCCATCAACTGTCAAGTGACATGTAAACTGGCTGTTCGAATACATGAAACCTTTTTCAGAGGTGAAGTAAAGTCAGTCATTCATATTTTAGGGATGAAAATATTTTCCCCATCAGGTGTGATTTGCCACCAAAAAGTCTGAAAAATGGTACACTGAAGGGGAAATAAAGAACAAGTACAGGGACTTACTAGAAGGACAGACAACAGATGAGCGTTTATAAGCAATGGCCATGGATATTAGCATAAGACAGGGTCACAGATGAGAAAAACGGTATGTCTGTTCATCCACAGAGGACCAATACAGACAAAATGCTGTGGCATGTCTGCTTTTGTAAAAAAAAAGAAAAAAAAGAAAAGGGAAACTAACGAAAATTCACTGCAACACACAGTTTCATAAATGAGAAAGTGCTTGTCATATGCAATGAAATTATGGGCAGTAAGGTTCATTTACGTGGACAGCTGAGCCGCACTTTCATAAGCTAAATGAGAACAGCACCGGGAATAAATAATAAACAAAGCACTGTTCTCGTTATCAACAGTCTTGTGAGCTGTTGCAAAGCAAGGCCTTTTCTGGATTTAAGAAAAGCTGTTTCCAGAAAACGTTCCGTGACATTTCGTAAAGCCACATTTTCCCTCATCAGCATAATTTCATCAGCATAATTTATTTTGACGTGCACACAATTGCTTGCAATGTAATGCTCAGTACTTCTGGACATGCTGGAGTTAAAAAAGGTGGTTTACTTCAACCAAATCAGAATTAATCAAGAGCTGGTCTTTTCCAATAAAAAATATAATATATATATCGGTCGTCACTGACCTCCCGGGTCGTCGCAGAGGTGCAGGTCGATTCTGTCCGAGTAGAGGTGGTACGACGTCTCGACCACGTCGTACTTGGCAAAGACTCGCGACAGCGCCGTGTTGCCCTGACTGCGGCGGGTCGACTGGTTCTGCTGCGCCTGGTACTCGGGCAGACTCTGCGGGAGAAGAGAGACCAGGCGGTCAGGAACGATCACGGGGAGCTACTGCGGGCAACAAGGGTCCTGGGAATAAGAAAATAAGCAGGGGCTGCTGTTTATGCTGTAATCCAGAAGCTTCTAACGACATAGCTTCTAACACCTTCAAACACTATCACCAGTATAACGCCTTTTGGGGCGACTAACGGAGCGAGCGAGAGGGTGAGCCTTGCACGTGCGAAATTTCGAGGGGGTACTGTTGGCGCCGTTGTCGCCTAACGATGCTAACTTTTAGTTGTCTGGGCGTTCGACAGATGGCGGTGTGATTTTCGGTTGTCCATTTGCTATCGATTTATTGATATGTTTATTTTTTGCTTTGGTGCCTTGTGTCTTTTGGTTTATTTTAGGTATCGATTTGTAATTTAGTTTTGTATTGTGATCCGCGGTCATAAGTTATTTGGATTTTGTTCGATGTATTAACACGGTGACCTCTGGTCCTCTACGGTCACGTGACCCGGCGCCGGCTGACCTGACACGTCACCCTTCTGGGTCAGCGGAGGGGCGGCCGGCGGGGCAGCGCCCATTCTTGGTTGGCCTGTCGCGGCGGCGTTAGCGCGCCGCGCATCGGTTTGGTTTGGTCGTGTTTGGCTTGGTTCGGCCGTTCGACGTTTGGAGTACAAGGGCGCATCGTGTAGGTGAGTGAGCGATTTTGGCCTCGGAAATTAGTTCATGTTGGTGAGATTGTTTGCCGATTTTGTTTGCTTTGCTTTGTTGTGTCTGCGTATTCGTTTGGTTGGTGTTCTTTTTGGTCATATGTTAAGTTTCTTTTGTTTCGATTCCAGAAACCGCTACGCTTTGTTCCGTTCTGCTGCGCTACGAGCAATATATGGTCAGCACAGGCGGAGCTAGCGCGTTTTACTACCGGTCGGCGCGAGATCCGGGGCACTGAGGTCGTCGGCGGCTACAGTTTCTACACGCGCCAGTTTCTGGCTCTACGCGAGCGGCATCTGCGCTCGCTGGCTGGTCTTCGGCTGCTCGGCGCCAGCTTCTGTGCGCGCTGACTGGATCTTCGGACGCGCGCAGTTTCTGCGCGCGCTGGCTGCGCTATCGGCGCTGTCCTACGGACGCGCGCAGTTTCTACCAGTTTCTACGGTCTGCAGTGGCTACTGTGTTTCGGCGTGGTTTCGGCCTGCAGCCGAGCTCGACACGTGCCGACTGCCGGGCCTCTGCGCGTGTTTCAACGTGCTGAGTTTCTGCGTGAGCTAACGTGCGCAGAGTCGGTAAGTGATCTGGGTCTGGTTTGGTATGACCGTGGGTTTGGTTTGGATTGACTCACCTCTGTGAGTTTTGGACCTGTGAGTACCTACTGCTCGCGGGTAGTTTGGCCTTGAACCGGGGGCAGTTTGGCCTTGAACTTTGGACTTGGACTCGCGCCAACTCGCTCTCCGGTGTTGGCTGTGTGCCAGGATTGGACTCAGTCTGGCTCAGTGGTATCAGTGAACTTTGGCTCAAGTAAGGAATTTGAGTGCTCTTCAGGGGAACATCAGTGGGGCAGTTGGGGTTAGCTTTAAGGTGTTACTGTGTCACGCATTTGTGTGTTTAGTGTTTAGTGTGTGTTGTTGTTGTTAGTCTGTGTGATGCATTATTAGGGTAAGGTAGCTAAATGGCATCAAGGGAGGAGCTCTCCAAGCTCAAGTCCTCAGAGTTAGTGGAGGAGCTCAGCTGTAGGGGGCTTTCGACTTTGGGTAAAAAGGCGGAGCTTGTTGATAGGCTATGGAATGTTGTCAAGCCTGTTGATGATGAGCATGATAGTGTAGACAGGAACATGTCTCAGTTAAAAGGAGATGTAAATCAGGAACAGGTCAGGATGGCAGCAGGTCAGTCGGATAGCAATACTTTGTCTCAAAATCTGTCAGGTTCTGGCTCGGAAGCGTCTCAGTTGCTCATTGCAAGGTTGAGGAATTTGAAAGAGATGGAACAGCTTGAGGAACAGGAACTTAGGATTAAGATGAGACGTCAGCAGTTAGATATAGAGTTAAAGCTGGCTGAGTTGCCCAGTGGAGAGGTAAGTGAGGAAGTGATTGACTCATTGAGGATCCAGACAGACAACCAGGTGAGATCTTCCCGTTCTGATGAGACATCCGTGCTGAACTCACAGATGCAGAGGATGTTGTTGCCACCTACTGAGATTGAGAAATTTGATGGTAACGTCATGAAGTACAAACTGTTCATCAGGTCATTTGAGGCTAGAATTGTGTCACGCACGACTGACGATGACGAGCTCTTGCACTACCTTGAGCAGCTGACTGTGGGAAAACCGAGACAGATTGTTAGGAGCTGTATGTACCTGAGTGAGGGTGGTTATGCCGAGGCCCGAAAGCTGTTAGACCAGAGGTATGGCAGCTCACACAGGGTGGTCGATGCATACGTGCAAAGACTGAATGACTGGGGCAGGATCCCTCCAGGTGACGTAGAGGAGTTGGATAGGTTGACCCTGTACCTGACTGAAATCAAACACGCAATGACTGACTTGGACGTTGCAGGTGAGCTTGAACACCCGAGAACCTTGAGAGAGGTGGTTGACAAACTGCCTGGCTACTTGAAGGATAGATGGATGAGGTTAAGTGATGATATCATGGAAGGTGAAGGGAGGATGGTTAGGTTCAGGGACTTGGTTGATTTTTTGGCCAAGGAAGTGCGAGTTAAGAGAAACCCAGTTTTTGGTAGGTCCTCGGAGATCAAACAGGCTGCACAGAGATCAAAGCCACAGGTCTCTGGTCGCATGCAGGCGCAGTGCAGTGCGACTGCAGTAAGCTCAGGATCAGGTGAGAACAGATGCAGGTTCTGTCGAGGTAATCACTTCCTTGATGACTGTCAGGAGCTGAAATGGAGACCGATGGATGAGAGGAAGCAGTTCATTCAGACTCAGAGGTTGTGTTTTGGTTGCTTGCATGAAGGTCACACTGCCAGGTTCTGCAGGAAGCGTAAGAAGTGCAGCATCTGTGGTGGTCTGCACGCTACTCTCCTCCACAGGCAGGGTGAGCAGCCACCCAAGTCTGAGCAGGTGAGACCCAGTGCTGCTCCCAGCAGCTCAGTTCAGGTTAGCAGCGGTGGAGTCACTGCTGACTCTGGTCAGAGAACAGGTACTCTGATGCCTGTGGTTCCAGTGAGAGTTGTGTCACCCTCAGGGAAGACAGTGGAAACTCTTGCCTTTTGTGATAGTGGCAGCTCTGGAACTTTCATGAGTAAGAGTCTGGCTGATCAGCTTGGGATGTGCTCAAAGTCCACTACCATTTCTGTTGACACTGTGTGTGGATTTGGGAGTGAGATTTCCACATCTGTGATGGAGGATGTGAAAGTTGGTCCCCTGAAGGGCGAAGGTCTGTTCTCGCTCCCTCCAGTGTTCACTCTTGACCGCATTCCTGTGTCCACTGAGGATGTGTGTGACAGAGTTGAGTTGAGTGCTTGGCCACACCTGTGTGGTGTGGAGCTGCCGCAGACTGATGTTGATCTGCGTGAGGTGGATCTACTGATTGGTGCAAACTGTCCACAGCTGTTGGTGCCGGATGAGGTGAGGAAGCCTGAGGGCGACGGGCCGTGCGCTCTGCGCACCCGCCTCGGGTGGTACGTGATTGGACCCTCCCATCGGTCGGCTCGTGATCCTGTGGGTCAGCACTCTGTGAACCGGATCGGAGTTTCGCGTTCCGACATTCCTGGTAAGGTCTCAGAGGCTGATCTGTTCGTTCAGCTGTACGATCAGGATTTCAAGGACGCAGCTGATGAGACTGAGAGTTTGTCCGTGGAGGACAAGGAGTGGGTGAGCATGGTCAAATCTAAGCTGAGGAAGGATGAGATGGGCCATTTTGAGATAGGTCTCCCACTCCGTGATGTCAGTGACTTGTCGGATAGCTACTTCACAGCTAAAAGGCGCTTGGAGCCTCTCAGGCGACGCTTGTCTGACAACCCTGATCTTCGTGATGAGTATGTTTCTGTTGTTCAGCGACTATTTGATGAGGGCTATGCTGAGGTGGTCCCCGACGCTGAGGTTGAGACTGGGGAAAGGGTTTGGTATTTGCCGCACCACGGTGTTAGGCATCCAGAGAAGAAGAAACTAAGGGTGGTTTTTGATTGTTCTGCAAAAACTGACGGCCTGTGTCTGAACGATCTGCTGATCAAGGGACCCAACCTCACCAACTCACTTGTTGGGGTGCTGCTTCGATTCCGCCTGAATCCTGTGGCGTTCACGTGTGACGTGGAGTCGATGTTTCACAGGGTTCGACTGCCTGCTGCTGATGCGAACATGCTGCGTTTCCTGTGGTTCAGGAACGGCGATGTCGGCGGTGACGTGGTGGTCTGCCGCATGAAATCGCACATCTTCGGCGCGGTGTCTTCTCCCAGCGTCGCAGGGTTTGCACTGAGGCAGTGCGCTGAAGAAGGTAAGGCCGAGCATCCAGAGGCTGCTAGGATTGTTGATCAAAATGTCTATGTAGACGATGCACTGGTATCGGCTTCATCAGTGGACGAGGCTGTTCGTTTGGCCAGCGATTTGAGACAGTTATGTCAGACAGGCGCATTTAACATGCGCAAGTTCACGAGTAACAGCACAGAGTTCCTTCGGAGTATTCCGCGTGAGGACAGGGGCAACAACGCGAAGGATCTTGACCTCCAGGCAGAGTCGTTGAAGCCGGAGCGTGCTCTGGGCATGCTGTGGTCGGTTGAGGATGACACGTTCCGGTTCCGCTTCGTTGACAGGCGCAGACCAGTGACGAGACGAGGCATCTTGTCCACAGTGAGTGCTTGTTCGACTCGCTGGGCATCGTCTCGCCAGTCACCTTGCACGGCAAGGTCTCTGTCTAGACGCTGTGCTTGATGTCCTGTGGCAGGGATGACGCCATTCCGGCGCCATTCCGGGTTTGGTGAGCTCTGTTCGGATTTTGGTGAGCTCTACTCTGGGTTTTGGTGAGCTCGGCTGTTGGTTTGGTGAGCTCTACTCAGGGACTTGGTGAGCTCTGCTCAGGGTT